TATTTTAAGTAAAGAAGGGCATTACAAATGAAAATATGTTTTTACCACCATTTAACAAATTTGTGTTCTGTATATGTAACTAAAAAAATCAAGTTCACTGACAGTGCTGGATCCAGGGGAGGGTTCTGGGGGTTGAAACCCCCCTTTTTTCTGACGATCAATGCATTTGAATGAGGACATATAGTTGGAACCCCCCTTTAGCCTGGGTTAGGACCCCCCACACACTTTTTATAAATGGCTGGATCCGCCCCCGACTGATCACACATTAACATAACCCTTAGGACCTAAAAGCTTAACAGTTATTTAGTTTAAACAGTATTTTATTCAAATAAATTGAATTGGATTGGGCAACAGGCATAGCCTATGTAAGCCCTCTCTTAACAGTTATAGAGTCAAACAAATCAGACTCATCTGAAGATTTAATATCCTCATCTCCTAGTATACCTTGCATTTCAAGAGCTTCATAAGTGTCTAATTCTGCTTGATTTTGATTTTCATCTGATTTTTCAAGCGCATTAAATTTTTGCATGGAAGATTGAATTTTATATTGTAAAAATTTTTCACCATCTCAACTGCTTCTGTTTTAAAATAATCCAAAGCAGAGAAGTTTCTAAGATGATAAAAACCACTAATGTTCCTCTTTGTTTTTATATATAAGATCCCTATTGGTTCATTTATACCTCTAATGTCCTCCAAATTTTTACTTTTTAGGTTAATAAATCAAAATTTTGGGGTTACTATCACACATTATGTATATGTAAGATATGTGACAATAAATGAGTAATTGAAATGTGCAAGCTGAATTAACTATCCGTTATAAAAGTTTATCGACTCCATAGTCATTGGAGGTTTCAATAAGGCCTAACCTATATCTTGTGTTTACTCAGAGTTCAAGAGAGGAACATATAATAGATCCTTTTAGTAAATAATGTGTTGTTACTGTTTCAAAAAACGTTTACTTTTTAATGTATATTTTTTTTACAGAATTACTTAGGAACAATGTTTCTTTTATAGAACAATATAAGAAATAATAAAAATTAAAAAAAAAAATGCTTTACCAAACGCTTTAATTTTTTTTTTCTTCTGATGACCATATTTTTGGATGACACAGTAGCAAATGCATAGCATTATAATAGAAGAAATGAAAATATGCAGATACTTTTTACATGTACAAGTCTTAATGTTGTCTTGTCAGTAGGTTCCTCTTTTAAAAAAGCCTAGACATGCATCAGAATCACAAGGCTTAACGAATTTTATACCAGTTCATTTATTATTAACATTTGAAGATACGTATATTTTCGTGTTAACCATTTAGAAATTCATATTGATTTGGATTCAAGAAATGTCGAAGTCCTAATGAATTTGTCTGGTTTTTTTTATGACTTCATCATTCTTCAACAACAGCAAAAACAGACGCTCGGCTTCAGTGAAAAAAAACCACCACCAGCCAATTTTTTCTAATAAAACCAAAGCAAAAAAATATCTTTAAACTAGACGGGATACTTACCATGTTTACCTCACAAAACCTATTTACCATATATACAAACAAACCATTTCAAACTACGATGATATGAATTTTCTTCCTGGTTTTGAAAGAACGATTCTTTTTTTAGACATGAACGCGGCTGTCAAAGAAAGCACCCATTTTTCATTGTAATCGTAAGTTTACGTTACGTTTACAATCACCTTTGTGAAACACTCGTAGGTAAAATCTTACGCTTAACGTAAGTTTAATCGTAAACGTAAATCGTACGATTCTTTGTGAAACGATGGCCAGCAAGGCAAGATCCATAAACAAGTCAAATTTTGCTGATATAGGCAGTAGACTGTCACTCTTTATAAGAGTGATTGCCCTTAAATGAGGATTTTTTTTTACCCTCTTTTGTGTTTTGAGCAAAAACTAAAGAAGATAGAGAGAAACTAAACAGACTAAATGATCATCAATACAAGATCAACGAATCAAAACTCTCGCATCCCCACTGATTACTTTAGAAATTAAAAGGTTCCGTTTGTCAAGTATGTGATAACTCCTCTGTGATGCCACCTTTGCTTGTTCCTTTAACTGAAGCTACTCTTATGTGATTTGATATTGAAAGTCTTCTCTAACCGATGTAAATATATACACAAACTCTCCTGGTTATTTGTAGATTGCTACAAGAATGACCACACCTGTTTCCTTTCAATAAACGAAGGTGAACGCCGAAAAGGTCTTAAAAATTGGGCAATATTTAACAGAATAACACATGAAAATTAATTGCAATTAGAAGGAAAGATCAGATTATTTTTATTCTTATTTAAAATGTTTCAATCATTGGAACTTTTAAATCAGTAAATCTCCAACAATAAAAATTAAAGTACCTGAAGAAAACTATTTGTGGAAAAATATGAGATGCATCTTTAGGATGGAGGATGGCAAAGGATGACTCAAATTTTAATTTAAATGTTGTCAACTTTTATTGAGTGTTACATAAAACATTAATGTATTTCTCTATTTTCACATTGTAGAAAAATGTAAACGTGTTTTACAAGTCTCTGTTGGAGAATTGTCTCATTGGCAATCATACCACATCTTCTCATTTTTATATTTACTAAATAATACCTACTCTTCACCTTAACTTTACATAACATTTTGGGGTTTTAGACATAACATGGATAGCATTAAACGCCTTTTATATACAGGTTTAATTGAATAAACTTGAATGATAAATATAATCATAATTGTGAAATTTATACTAATTATTTAATTATTGTAGAAAAATATATCTAAAGTGGCAAATAAGTTAACATACTGCAAATGATATCAAAATCATGACACAAGATTAGAGCAACTTCAAACTATGAATGATTTAACTTGTTTTAACTTTAAAATTAAGTATTAAATATATCTAAATTAATTTAAAGAATGGTCATGATGATTGGACCACAGCACTATAATATTTTTTGGTTCTTTTGATTGTAACATGTTAACCAGGGGCAGATCCAGGGTTTGAGGAAAAGGGTGATGTAATTTGCCAAAATTATAGAAATAGCACCGAGCCAAGCAAGACAAACAAAGTTTTTGACCTTATGTTGAAAATCAATGCATGAAATGTTTTTGCACTTGACATCCAGTAAACACTTTAAAAAAATATCTGTCAAAATTAGCAGTACACCACAATAATAATTGCATATGACAACTTATTTTTTCTTTTTATACAGCATATATGATTTTCAAGCCACGCATGTATATTTGCATGTATATATAGCTGGCAGACCTGTAAAAAATCTTTACGATAAAAATTGATTTTAAGTTCATGACTTGCAAGTATTTTCCTCCTCAGATTTTTTTGTGAGACAGTTCCGGGTTTTTTTGTCTTTATTTTTATCTTTTTAAATGCAGCTAAACCTTTCTATTCTGACATATTTGCATTTAGTGATATGGTGGTTAATTGTCATTTCCATGACAATTTAGTACACATCAGGTTATTTCAGTATATTCCATAATTTTGATCAATGACGAGGTTCCGAAAAATTTGATTGAACCCATGCTTCGATATGACCAGTTGAGTTAACAGATACTTAACGATTTTGCGGTATCGCACTATAAACACGTTTGAAGGCGATTTGTTGGAGTTCCTGTTATTATAATACTTCCATTATTAGACATAGCCATGTCGTTATCAACAAATAAAACAAATGTTCTTTATAATTGAGACTTAATATTTTTTCATGCCCCCCTCAACAGTGTCACCCTTGTCCATCTATACGTCAGTCAGTCCGTACATCCGTACATCTGTACTTCCCAAAATTAGTTTCCGTTCTCTAACATTATTTTGCCTCAACCAAATGTTATGAAACTTATACACAATGCTTATTACCACAAAACTCAGATCAAGTTTGAATTTGGGTGGTGTTACTTTTACCTTTCTCGAGTTATGCCCCTTTATAATGTTATATGCAAGTGGGGGCATAATCTGTGTCCTATGGACACATTCTTTATTTATTTTTACGTACTTTTCATAAAAGACTGAATTTGGTTGGTCATTTCTTTCCTGAACACTGAAGTTTTATCATGTATGTAGCATTCATGTAATATATGTAATATTGGATTAGAAACCAATAAAAATAGATGTATTCATATTGTAATCAGCATGTAGTTAAAAAAAGCTTTTGGATTTAGACATTACACATAATTGCCAAAATTTACATACTTATTGATAAGTCTAATAAAACATGCCTGATTGAAACTGAGGTAAATTAATGACCACTGAATGTAGTCATATGCATGTGGCTCCCCAATAAATGAGACTGAGTTGCAAATAACAATTATGTAAAGGAATAATACTGTGATCCTTTGAGATATTTTTCCATAAAATATCATTTTCAATGATAAAGTACAAGGAGAAGACAATGAAATGTTAAGCTGCTAACATTTGTAAATATCTTGTTAAATTTAGTTACTTGTTTTGAAAAACAGAAGTAGTCATACTATATGTCATTATTTTTTTGATTTCAAATTTGAAATCTCAAAAAGAATTGACATTTATTGAAGGTCAAGAAGAGGGGATAAATATAAATGAGTAAAAGTGAAGCTATTTACATTAATGCAATTCTTTCTATATTCATGAAACAAAGTGCATAATAGTCGGTTACAACTGCAGCACATGAAATAAGTTTGTTTGACGCACTGTACAGAAAAAAACTTTTCATTCACTTGATAGATATTGTGATAGGGATGAGTATTTTATTGAAAAATGTAGTTCATACCTTAGTCCAAATAGAAAATGTGATATCTTCCACTTGTGTCACAGATTCTTCATAGATAAAGAATCAATGTCATTGTCAACATCCAGTGATTAGTTTACTACTCTTCATCTTTATGGTTGCAGGAGTATGAGTGAAACACCTTAAAAAATTGCTGAACTTGTGGAGGGAGGGAGGGCATATTCTGCATTGTCTTTAAATCCCTGAAGACCTAGAAATGAATTTGATAGAAATATGTATAAAATTTTGAATTTCAGTTTGTTTGCTGACGATGGGAGTGCAGAGTTCTCTTATTGTTGATAATAAACAAATGACAGCATCATCATCACAGAACACATCCTCACCACAAGCCAGTAGAATATATGCAAGTGGCTCATGGATGCCAAGGTAGAATAAAATTGAGAATGGAAATGGGGAATGTGTCAAAGAGACAACAACCTGACCAAAGAGCAGAAAACAGCCAAAGGCCACCAATGGGTCTTCAACACAGCGAGAAAATTCCGCACCAGGAGGCGGGCTTCAGCTGTCCCCTAAAAACAATGATATAACGGTTTCAGTTCCACATTCAATTTTCTCCCTCAAAATTTACTGACTTAGTTGGGAAAATCAATGAATATCTGTTTAAATTGTCTATGGCTGTAGCAATTAGTTTTTTATTCCAAACTTCAAATTGTCATTCAGAGGCACGAATTATACAGTACTGAAACCAAGAAATGAAAGAAAAAATCGATTTTGTAATGTTTGTTTATTTTCCACCATAAGGTAGAAGGCACTCTTGTCATTTTAATCATTTAACTTCTCCATTAATATGCAATTTTAATTTTTAAAATTCCAATATTTACTTATCAATATCAAATATTATTTTCATTACAAATTTCTTCTTTCTTCTCATAACATTACATAACAATGCATAAACTAAAAAACATAGTAGGTTATTCTTTTCGATTTGGTGTTTTAGACTGCTGCCATGTATTGGTTTAGCTGAAGGTCCTTCAAACATTAAAGTGCTGTAAACTTTAAACAGTATTTAACTAAATAGCAGTACTGTTTTACTTTCAAAGTCTCAAACTTTTAAAATATTTATCAAATACAGGATCTCCATGCCCTCTCGCCTTATTTGATTGCTATTAACACAGACTTGTTATTTTATAAATGACATCCTTACTTTGCATTTGTTTTTTTGGAGATTTACGGTTTTATTTTAACAGTGTTCTATAAGCATTTATCAACGTTCTTTTACTTTTTTTGATGCAGAAATGTTTCACAAGCCGTTTCGACAAGTGATGATTGATTGATTGATTGTTGGTTGCTTAACTTCCAGTGGCAAATATTTCATGCTTTTTTCAGGAAGAGAACAAAGTAACAATAAATACAAAAGGTAGGTCCTGTAATGAAGGCCATCCGGGATGAAGGTCTTGGAAATTAAGACTGTCACTGGAAAATAAGGGTAAATTGGATAGGGACAGACATTTGCCTTATAACAGACTACCTACGGACCCCCAAAGAATTGTTACAAGGGTTCTTAGCGTGCAGAGAACGTGACAATCTCTCTACATGAGGCATCAGATTTAGTGTCCCGATTCTGACCTGACATGGTGGCATACATGTACATCCTTCACAGCCAAAAGGATGCCCCACTTTGGCAAGGGTTTTACTGTTGTTCCGATGAAGACCAAGAGTGCCCATATTTCTATTCCCAAGTCACTCTTTTCTTTAGGGGAAAACAAGTGGCGAAAAAAAAAAATTGCCTGAAGTCCTGTCGTGTTTAAGGGTATGTGGATTATACATGACTTTGTAAGGTAGTCCAAAGTTTCTTGCCTTAAAATCGTTTGTAAATCTGGTTTGTTCATTTAAAGTTAAAGTATTAATAACTTTAGGAGGTTAATTTTACAGAAAGTTCCTTGTACATTTTGAATTATAAATTAAACAATAATTTTTTAACCCCAATAAATGGAATATGGCCTTTTGGCATATCATATGTTCTTAAACAGGTCATAGATACTTTGGTATGCTTAATTCTGTCAATTGCTATAATATTTGTTTCTTAAAAGTTCGTCATCGCTACCTTTTTGTAAATACTAATATGTAAAATTTATTTTATTTTGAATTTAATTTTTATTTTGTATTAACATGATACCGGTTCATTAAACAATGGCTAAATTTTGTATTTTTTACAGCAAAACAGATACTAAACCATGGATACAGATTGACTTCCTCAGACCAAAACTTTTGTCTGGTGTAGTTACCCAAGGTGATGGCAAATCTCAGAACTGGGTCAAAACATACCAGATCTACACCAGTATAGATGGCATCAACTTCATCCCATACAGTGACAAAACAGGGGACAACACTGCTAAAACATACAATGGCAACAAGGACAATGTCACCCCAGTCAGACATCTTTTCAACCGTAACATTACAGCTCAGTTCATCCGACTGTATCCCACAGAATCCTACACAGGAACACCTGCACTCAGATGGAATGTGATTGGCTGTACTCCTGACACACCTAGACCAAAGGCTCCACCACAAGGTATACCTACACCAAAACCTGGAACTGGTTTACAGATAATTCCAACAGCTCAACCAGGCAGTGACCAACAAGGTACACCAACTTTAGGACAATATACTGGTACAGGAAGCACAGCTGTACCTTCTGGACAATTGCAGTTCACACCAACACCTGCACCATGTAAGTGATTTAATATGCATTATGTATTTTGGGACACAATATTTCACTTCACTGGTATTATTTCTCTTTTTATGCCCCGGCCTTTGACGGAGGTTGCATTAAGTGTTACCCTTGTCTGTCCGTACGTACATCAAAAATTGGTTTCTGTTCTCTAACTTTAGTTTTCATCAATCAAATGTTATGAAACTTTTACACAACGCTTATTACCACAAAACACAGATCAAGTTAGAATTTTGGTGGCGTCACTTCTACCATTCTGGAGTTATGCACTTTTATACCGGTATATGGACAAATTGCTGAATTTTTTCCGTTCTCTAACTTTAGTTTTGCCTCATCCAAATGTTATGAAACTTATACACAATGCTAATTACCACAAAACACAGATCAAAGTCCAATTTGGGTGGTGTCACTTTTACCGTTCTCGGGTTATGCCCCTTTATAACATTATATGCCATGGACACAATTCTCCATTTATTTATTTTTTAAATTTTTTTCCACTAAGAATTATATGAGTTAACCAGCATAACTTATATTGATACAAGTAATGCCATTCTTGGTCATTGGTTAATTTTCAATAGAACAATTATCAATTAGGTGGATGAGACAGGAGTTAAGATATGAGACATGTGCCTGGACTCACCATTTATTACTTTTGTGATCTTCAGTGCATATGCAAAGGTAAGATGGGATTTCGTTTTTATTCCTCCGCATAAATTTGCGGCGGTATAATGGTATGGTGATGTCGTCATAGACATAGTCTTCTGAAGACATTTGGTTTCCAGACAACAACTTGAGTATAAGTGTAGGGATCTCTATTAAATTGTGTCTCAAGATTCCGTTCCACATAGGATGGTTTGGATTGTTTTTTGGGGTTACAATCCTAACTGTAAGAATTTTGGGCCAAAAAGGGGCCAAAAGCAAAACCAAAAAAATTCTGGTTTCCGGACAATAATTTGAGTATAAGTGTATGGATTTATATGAAGTTGTACCCCAAGGTTCCATACCACAAAAGAAAGGTTGGATTGAATTTGAGGTATATTTGTATCCTCTTAGGAATAAGGGGCCAAAAAGGGGTAGAAAACGAGCAATTTTTTAGACTTTGTTTGAATTGCTTATTTCTGACCAATTTCAATGGGGTTTAAATTATCTTAATCTTTTCGTGTATTTAGAATTTTTATTATCAACATTCTCAATCAAATATATCAATCCACTTCAATAATATTTTAAACATTTCCCAAATATGCTTAAAAAACAATTTCCTCCATATTTACATTTCTGTTCAAAGGGAAATAACTCAAACCACAATTTAATGATAAAAATTAATCCACTCTTAAAACACTCAACATTAATATCACCTTTTGATATCATTTTTCAGAACAATTCTAACCACAAATTCACAAATCTAATTAAAATAACGTCCCAACCACTTAACATTACAATCCCATAAACCACAATTACCAATTCATGCCAAATTTCATGTCACAATTTTATCCAATATTAAAATCCTCTTTTGCAAAATAATTTAAAAAATCTTCAGTTCATTATGATATGATTCTATTATCCTTTTAAGGTGAAGTATACATAATTGCACGCCTCTAGCGGAATTTAGGAAGAAAAACGTGCATCGTTAGTTACGAGAGTTATCTCCCATACTCCAAAAAAGGAAAAATTTGCTGAAATTCATATGCTGGTTCTTCTTTTGACCTTATTACAGCCATAAAAAAATTCTCAAGATAATATGCAGATGCAGTTTTCTTATTTTGGATGTGAATATTTAACAAATAATGGTACCAGAAATTATTTCCTTTGTTACTGAAACTCCAGCAAACGTTATATCATGCTTTATCGTGTAGTTAAAGAAAAGGAAAAGCGATTGAGACAAGAAATTTTAAAAATAAAATTGCAGAGTTGTGTCACGTGCACGTGTGTGAACCTGGCAAAAAGAATGGGTTTTGTGCGCAATTCCGCGACTTTTACTACATCATCCATTCCTAAAATTGCTAAATTATCAATATTTAATTTCTAATTGCTAACAGTTTAACAGCATCAAGAAAAATAAATTTACTCCCTTTTCCCATTACCCAAAAGTTACAATATGTTTAAAAATTTCAATCATAACCTGATGACAAATAAACCTCAGCTACCATACATATCCTTCTTTACCCCACTTGTAGCAATATTCAAACACCAAAAAATTATTAATTAATTTAATAAAAGGTTTCCTACCAATTACCTGATTACAGCTTAAACTAAATTCTTTTATGGAGCATTTTTAAAAGTTAGCTAATACTGTCCATTAATAAATAAATAAATTCTTGGTGTACTTGGATATGCTGAATCTAATTGTGTATTAAGATTTTGGATATTGGACCACAACAGGTAAAAGTCCAAAATTATTTTTTTTAGCTCTTAGACCACATTCATTCTCTTTCAGAAACCTATGATGTGTCAAATATATAATTACAATTAAAATTCAGAGATGTATCAAGCTTAAGTGCAGTTTATATACTTGCTAACAACTGTTCAGGTTTCAACCTCTGTGTTTGTATCAAGCTGCGCCCAGCAGAGCATTTTATTTTAAAATAAGTCAAGTTGATGACTAGCTCCACTGATTTAAAAACATGATGTTATGGATTTTTTTTCAAAAAATGTTTTACAAGCTTTAATATGTTTTTTTTGTTATGATAGAGTAAACTGACATAACTGATGAAAAAGATGTATTAAAAAATCTCATTCAGTAAGATAACATCATGTTTACCAATTAGTGTGAGGTTTTATTGTGCTAAAAAATTTGTCTCCTGAATGGTAATAATGATTTAATGCATTTAAAAAAAAAAGTCAGCACTTTCATTTACTTTCACCAATCATTAGTTATTAATTCAAATTGTTTTTGAACAATGATATTGAAGTTAAGTTTATTTCTTTTTGGCATCTCATAAGAAATTTTATGAATTATTTATAATGATGAAATTAAGTAATTTCTGCGATTTTATTATTTGCTGGGATAATAATTCGATATTGAATGCTTTAAAACAAATTAAGAAGAAATTTTGAAATGCCTGATTCATTGAAGAATTTTTTCATTTTGGTAAATTTTTAATGTTATGAATATTTTACAAATTTGAAGTAATGCCAGTCATATGAAGACTTTTCTTAATTTAATTGATAAATAACAAATAATCTGCCAGTGTTCAAAGATAGCATGAAAAACAAGAAAAATATATTCCCTAAGACTTAATTAGTTTATCATTATAGATTGGGCTCATTTTGTTTTCTTGAAACTTTTTTGTCAGTGTGTGAAATTCCTATGGGATTGTCTAACAAGTTTATAGTAACAGACTCTCAACTAACATCATCAAGTAAACTCAATAATTTCACTGGAGCTGAACGTGGACGAATCTACACTGAGAAAGATGGTAGCTTTACTGGAGGTTGGGTGCCAAGGTTTGTCATTTGAAATATACTTTCCTAATATAAATCCTCATTCTGTTGTCCACTTTGGTAGGTCAAAAATGTCTGCAATCAATTATCTAATATTACTTTTCATTCTCAACATGTCATATGTTTTAATTCATTGTTTTATTGTTGTTTTTTCGCAATGCATAGACATTGATGACATTTCTACACATGTGTAAACAGAAATCTTTTAAACTTTAAAAATCATTCCTCATATACTAAATTATAGCTCATAAGTAATGTTGAATTTACATCCAAAGTTTATGTGGTAAGTTGGACATACACTAAGTTAATCACTGTTCAAAGGGATCTTGCATGAAAGACGATTGTAATTATTACCAATATCATAAAGCTGTGGTCAATTTCTATCCACACTAAAAAAGTCGGATGTTTTCTGTTTTCAGTCTCTTCAAAACTTTCATCTCTTTGCACAATTGTATGAGAGTTGTATATCTTGGGAGCAAGTCACTATTGGGCATTTCTCATTTCTTATCAATTCAATTCAATTCAAATTCAATTCTTTATTAGAAGAAAGATTATGCAAAAACTGCCAAAAAATTGAAGATAAAATTCATTTCTTTTTATATTGTTATATTAACAGTAATATTAGAAAAGTTTATTTTGATTTTTTGATAACTGAGAACACACAATTTATAGATTTAAATGATATAGATGGAATTACATATATCCTCAACCCAAGATCACACATTCAGGTAATTAATTATATATATATATATATATATATAAGCTTGGTTCCTTTTTAGCTCACCTGGCCCGAAGGGCCAAGTGAGCTTTTCTCATCACTTGGCGTCCGTCGTCCGTCGTCGTCGTTAACTTTTTACATTTTGAACTTCTTCTAGAGAACCACTGAATGGAATGAAACCAAACATGACATGCATGTTCCTTATGAGGTGATGACCAAGTGTTGTTACTTTGTAGCCGATCCATCATCCAAGATGGCCGCCAGCGGGGGGACTTAGTTTAACATAGGACCCTATGGGAAATGCATACAAATGGCTTCTTTTAGAGAACCACTGAACGGAATGAAACCAAACATGGCATGAATGTTCCTCATGAAGTGCTGACCATGTGTTGTTACTTTGTAGCCGATCCATCATCCAAGATGGCCGCCAGCGGGGAACTTAGGTTAACATAGGACCCTACGGGAAATGCATACACATGGCTTCTTTTAGAGAACCACTGAACGGAATGAAACCAAACATGGCATGAATGTTCCTTATGAAGTGCTGACCATGTGTTGTTACTTTGTAGCCGATCCATCATCCAAGATGGCCGCCAGCGGGGAACTTAGTTTAACATAGGACCCTATGGGAAATACATACAAATGTCTTCTTTTTAGAGAACCACTAAATGGAATGAAACCAAACATGGCATGAATGTTCCTTATGAGGTGCTGACCAAGTGTTGTTACTTGTAGCCGATCCATCATCCAAGATGGCTGCCAGCGGGGGACTTAGTTTAACATAGGACCCTATGGGAAATACACAAAAATGTTTTCTTTTAGAGAACCAATAAATGGAATGGAACCAAACATGGCATTAATGTTCCTTATGAGATGTTAACCAAGTGTTGTTACTTTGCAGTCGGTCCATCATCCAAGATGGCCGCCAGCGGGGGAATTAGTTTAACATAGGACCCTATGGGAAATACATACAAATGTCTTCTTTTAGAGAACCACTGAATGGAATGAAACAAAACATGGCATGAATGTTCCTTATAAGGTGCTGACCAAGTGTTGTAACTTTGCAGTCAGTCAATCATCCTGGATGGCCGACAGCGGGGGACTTAGTTTAACATAGGACCCTACGGGAAATACATACAAATGTCTTTTCTTAGAGAACTAGTGAATGGAATGAAACCAAACATGGCATGAATGTTCCTTATAAGGTGCTGACCAAGTGTTGTTACTTTGCAGCCGATCCATCATCCAAGATGGCCGCCAGTGGGTGACTTAGTTTAACATAGGACCCTACGGGAAATACATACAAAATGTCTTCTTTTAGAGAACCACTGAATGGAATGGAACCAAACTAAGCATGAATGTTCCTTATGAGGTGTTGACCAAGTGTTGTTTCTTTGCAGCCGATCAATCATCCAAGATGGCCGCCAGCGGGGGACTTAGTTTAACATAGGACCCTATGGGAAATACATACAAATGTCTTCTTTTAGAGAACCACTGAATAGAATGAAACCAAACATGGCATGAATGTTCCTAATGAGGTGCTGACCAAGTGTTGTTACTTTGCAGTCGGTCCATTATCCAAGATGGCCGACAGCGGGGGACTTTTTTTTAACATAGGACCCTATGGGAAATACATACAAATGTCTTCTTTTAGAGTACCACTGAATGGAATGAAACCAAACATGGCATGAATGTTCCTTATGAGGTGCTGACCAAGTGTTGCTACTTTGTTGCCGATTTACTGTTCAAGATGGCCACCAGGATATTTTATTAAATAACGGGACCAATATTAATCCAAATTAGGCCTCAATCATTATTTGGGTACCTGTTATGATTTTTATCTATCTTTACATGATTTCTAAAACCAAAGTAGAGTCATGTGAGTGACACAGGCTATTGAGATCCTCTAGTTAAAACATTCTATAGAACTGAGGACAGGCCAGGACTCTTGAAATATTTTCTTTCATAATGTATATAAATGATCTTGTTGATATTGTTTGTTTTCATTTTGTTATGTAGTGTCACATGTTATGAAATGTAGTTTAATGACAATCTCTTGGTATTTTAAGATATGTGCCCTTTTTTATGAATAAATTGTGGTCGCTTATTCTAAATTTTGTTATCAGTTTTCTAAATTCAAATTTTGAACAAGTTATATATTTTTCTACTGTATTATTTTGTTTTACATGTTTATAAATAGTGAGTTTGATGTTGTCCTTAATACATTATGAATTATTAACTTTTCATAAAAATGCTTCAATTTTAATTTTATTTGTTTTCTTATAGTTTAAGTTAACTTATGTGTGTCTTCAATGTGTATCAAATTATTGATTTTTCTTTCCTAAAACATATAAGGAAATAGTTGTTGATATATGTTAGTGACTTTCCGAGTATGGTGGCATTTAGTTTGAGAAAATTTTCAAATTCAACAATGATTTCATAAATTAAACATAAAATTGTCAAATTGGTTGTCACTTAAAAATTATATATTCACAGTGCAGAAACATTTTATTCTTTAAAGTAAATTTTATTGTTTATTGTTGTTATAGTAGTATTAAAAGTAGAATTTATTATGTATTCAGATTTATTTATATTTTAGATAAAGTTTTTTTATGGTTTCATTAATGTAAGATCCAAAATATTAAAAGAATTCAACAATTTTTGTTTTAGTGTGAGCAACAAGAAACAATGGATTCAAGTAGACCTTTTGGCTCCCTATGAAATAACAGGTATAATTACTCAAGGCCTGTCAGAAAAACCTAACTGGGTGACAAAGTATGCAGTTTATTACAGTACAGATGGAGAAAACTTCATTCCTGTGCCTAAATCACCTGTAGATAAATCTCCAATGGTTTTCACTGGCAACAAGGACCAGTTTACACCAGTCCAGCATTTGTTTCCAAACGTTGTTGCAAGATTTGTTAGGTAAGTAGTAAAGTACCAGCTTCTGCAACCTTGATACAAGTTCCTTTAATACTGTAAAACATAGTGTTTTATTGTCATTAAATGCTTAAATGGAACTAAGAGTTAAGTGTATATATAATGCACATTATAGCAGATATTTAAAGGGGTTGCCCAAAATTGTCTTGATGCTCAAATTTTATAAGAAGTTACTGTGTATATTTATTAAATAGAATGAATATGTATTACTCTTACAGAGAAATATATTCAGACCTATATATTACAGAAACTAATATTCTTGATATTTATTACTTATTCATTCTAAATTGTTAAAAATAAATCATTAGGAAAAAGAATAAAAGACAACAGAAACAGGGAGAATAAATATATGCACAGAATGAAATTACTAGTTCTATCAATGTAGCTCTTTGGAAGACAGTCTGACAGATCAAAATCGTTGTCAACCTATTCCATGTTTTCTCTTTGCAGAGTATATCCATTAGAGTGGCATAATTTAGTAGGATTAAGATTCAACCTTCTTGGTTGTCAATCACCCTTACCGTCAAATATAAGAACAACACAAGGACCTGACCAGACACCTAGTCCTCTATCCTGTATGTACTGGACACCATGGGTAAACACTGGTACACCTGACAAAGTAGGAGAATATGAAACTGTCTACAACTTGAACCAGCTGGTACATTCCTGTGACAAGAAAAACATGAAAGCTATAGAATGTCGAGATATGGCTTCTAAAATGTCACATGATAAGATTGGAGAGACAGGTGTCCAGTGCGATTTAACTACTGTTGGAGGCCTGTTGTGTAGAAATGATGCCCAGGCTGACCACCAGTGTAACGATTATGAGATAAGAGTTTTCTGTGATGAGTGCCCAACAGGTGAGGAGACATATATTTACTATGTAGTTACTAAAAAATTCCAAGATCTGTCAGAGTACATACAATCTAATTATCTTTCATCTTGCAATAGTATTAAAACATTTGACTTTTCTTTCCTTTACACAAGTATTTCCCATTCCAAACTAAAAGACAAATTTAAAGAATTGGTCCTGCTTTGTTTCATAAAAAAACAATGGCCAATGCAGATACAAGTATCTAGTCTTAGGGAGGAATGAATTGTACTTTGTAAAAATCACTCTGATTCAAACAAAAAATTCTCTGAAACTAACATTATCAAGATTCTTGATTTCTTGATTGACAACATATTTGTAACGTTTGGAGGACTTGTTTTTCAACAAACAAGCAGCATTCCCATGGGAACCAACTGTGCCTCTCTTCTTGCTGACTTATTCCTTTATTGATATGAGGCTGACTCAATACAGGAGCTTCTTAGGAAGAATAAAAAGAAGCTAGCATTATCCTTTTACTTCACTTTCCGCTATAAAGATAATGTCCTCTCACTAGATAATTCAAAGTTTAGTGATTATGTTGAACGCATCAATCTCATCGAACTTGAAATAAAGGATACCATATATTCAGTTAAGTCTGCCTCATATCTTGACTTACATCTTGAAATTGACAATGAAGGTTGGTTGAGAACAAAACTTTACAACAAAAGAGATGCTTTCAGCTTCCCAATTGGGAACTTTCCATTTCTATGTATCAACATTCCAGCAGTGCCTGCATATGGAGTATATGTTTCCAAGTTGATATGATATTTGAGAGCTTGCAATTCCTATCATGATTTCCTTGATAGAGGGTTGCTGCTGAAAAGGAAGCTATTAAACCAAGAGTTTCAAGTAGTTTAGTTGGAATCATTCCCTCAAAAATTTTACTGACATCAACACGAGTTGATTGACCTTTATGGTATATCTGTTTCATAGATAACGACGGATATGTTCCAGTTGTCTTTACTACAATCCTGTCCTTATTTCCTTGAATGTGACCTACAAAATTAAACTTGCACTGGGTTTGTACTAACATGAACAACATGAGGGGTGCCACTTGTGGTGCAAGGATTTGCTTGCCTTTCTGGAGCACCTGATATAACCCAGTTTTTGATGGGGTTCATGTTGCTCAGTCTTTAGTTTTCTATGTTGTGTTTCCTAAACTGTTGTTTGTCTGTTTCGATTTTTGATTTTGAATGTCCCTTTATTACTGTGTTTTTTATACCACCCTTCAAGTTATATCTACCTTGACATTATAATTTATGGCAATCCTTGAGTAATTTGATAATAACGAGATGTATAATTATTTAGGGAAATGACTTTCTTATAGAATTTTTAATTGTTAATAAGAAGTCTTACTTTTCTTCAAAGTTATTACTCAGTATTGCTTGTAGTTATTTGAAATGTAGTAGATGCTCATTACACAAAGACATTAGACAAGCCTTAAAATTCTAGTAAAATTCCATTAAATAAAAACTTTATAGATGCTTCATTAGATTTTACCATATGACTGATTGATTATTGGTTGCTTCACGTTCAGTGGCTTTTTTATCATATGAAAGGGAATATACGATTCACAACCTCCACCAATAAAAACATAATTACACCTAATATAATTTTTTTAGCTCACCGTTCTGAAGGAACTGTGAGCTTTTGCCATCACTTGGCGTCCTTCGTCGTCCCAGGCGTCCGTTGTCGTCGTCCGTCTGGTGTAAACTTACTTTCAAACATCTTCTCCTCTAAAACCACTGGATCAATTCCAACCAAACTTAAGCTGAATGATCCTTAGAGTATCTAGAATAAATTTTGTGTTTTATTTTCTGTTTCGTTAAAAACATGGCCGCCATGGCTAAAAATAGAACATATGGGTAAAATGCAGTTTTGGGTTTATATCTCAAAAACCAAAGCATTTAGAGCAAATCTGACATGGATAAAAATGTTCATTAGGTCAAGTTCTATCAGCCCTGAAATTTTCAGATGAATCTAACAACCAATTGTTGGGTTGCTGCCACTAAATTGGTAATTATAAGGAATTTTTGCAGTTTTTGGTTATTATCTTGAATATTATTATAGATAAAGATAAACTGTGAACAGCAAAAATGTTCAGCAAAGTAAGATCTAGAAATAAATTTTATATTACCAAAATTGTCAATTGACCCCTTAAGGAGTTATTGCCCTTTAAGGACAATTTCATACAATTTGTTTATCATGTTTTCTAACTTTAAAAAAATCTTCTCCTCTGAAACTACTGAACAAATTCCAACCAAACTTAAGCTGAATGATCCGTAGGGTATCTAGAATAAACTTTTTGTTTTTTTTTTCTGTTCCTTAAAAAACATGGCCGCCTTGGCTAAAAATAGAACATAGGGGTAAAATGTAGTTTTGGGTTTATATCTCAAAAACTAAAAGCATTTAGAGCAAATCTGACTATGGGGTAAAAATGTTCATTAGGTCAAGATCTGTCAGTCCTAAATTTTCAGATGAATCTAACAACCCATTGTTGGGTTGCTTCCACTAAATTGGTAATTTTAAGGAAATTTGGTTATTATCTTGACCAAAATTGTCAATTGACCCCTTAAGGAGTTATTGCCCTTTAAGGACAATTTTACACAATTTGTTTATCATGTTTTTAACTTTAAAAAAACTTCTCCTCTGAAACTACTGAACCAAATTAAACCAAATTTAAGCTGAATTATTCTTAGGTTATCTAAAATATAGTTAGTGTTTTATTTTCTGTTTCCTCAGAAAACATGGCCGCCATGGCTAAAAATAGAACATAGGGTAAAATGCAGTTTTTGACTTATATCTCAAAAACTAAAGCATTTAGAGCAAATCAGATAAGAAGTTAAAGTATTCATTAGGTCAAGGTCTACCTGCCCTGAAATTATCAGCCAAATCGGGTGTCTGATTTTTAGGTTATTGTCCCTGAATTGATGATTTTAAGGAAATTTTGCAGTTTTCGGTTATTATCTTGAATATTATTATATATAAAGATAAACTGTAAACAGCAAAAATGTTCAGCAAAGTAAGATCTACAAATAAGTTTTATGACCAAAATTGTCAATTGACCCCTTAAGGAGTTATTGTCCTTTAAAGACAATTTTTCACAATTTGTTCATCTAATCTAGTTTGCTTACTTTAAAAAACCTTCTCCTTTGAAACTGCTGAATCAATTTCAGCCAAAATTGGGCTGAATGAGTTTCAGAGTATCTTGTATAAATTTTGTATTTTATTTCCTTGTACGTCAATTAACAAAGCCACTATGGCTAAATGGAACATAGGGGTAAAATGCATTTTTTTGCTTTTGAAGAAAATATGACAGATACAAAGAACATTTAAGTGGCATTTTTAAGCCACTCATTAATATATATTGAAAAGCAAAAATAATCATTGATGAAAGATTTAAGCAAAAAATTACAGGTGAGCGATTCATGCTCTTGAGAGCCTCTTGTTTTTAGCTCACCTGGCCCAAAGGGCCAAGTGAGCTTTTCTCATCACTTGGCGTCCGTCGTCCGTCGTCGTCGTTAACTTTTTACATTTTGAACTTCTTCTAGAGAACCACTTAATGGAATGAAACCAAACATGGCATGAATGTTCCTTATGAGGTGCTGACCAAGTGTTGTTACTTTGTAGCAGATCCATCATCCAAGATGGCTGCCAGCGGGGGATTTAGTTTAACATAGGACCCTATGGGAAATACATACAAATGTCTTCTTTTAGAGAACCACTAAATGGAATGAAACCAAACATGGTATGAATGTTCCTAATGAAGTGCTGATCGTGTGTTGTTACTTTGAAGCCGATCCATAATCCAAGATGGCCGACAGCGGGGGACTTAGTTTAACATAGGACCCTATGGGAAATACATACAAATGTCTTCTTTTAGAGAACCACTGAATGGATTGAAACCAAACATGACATGAATGTTCCTTATGAGGTACTGACGGAGTGTTGTTACTTTGAAGCCGATCCATAATTCAAGATGGCCGACATGGGGGGGGGGGGGATAATTTAACATAGGACCCTATGGGAAATACATACAAATGTCTTCTTTTAGAGAACCACTGAATGGAATGAAACCAAACATGGCATGAATGTTCCTTATGAGGTGCTGACCAAGTGTTGTTACTATGAAGCCGATCGATAATCCAAGATGGCCGCCAGCGGGGGACTTAGTTTAACATAGGACCCAATGGGAAATACATACAAATGTCTTCTTTTAGAGAACCACTGAATGGAATGAAACCAAACATGACATGAATGTTCCTTATGAGGTGCTGACCAAGTGTTGTTACTTTAAAGCTGATCCATCATCCAAGATGGCCGCCAGCGGGGGACTTAGTTTAACATAGGACCCTATGGGAAATACATACAAATGTCTTCTTTTAGAGAACCACTGAATGGAATGAAACCAAACTTGGCATGAATGTTCCTTATGAGGTGCTAACCGAGTGTTGTTACTATGAAGCCGATCCATAATCCAAGATGACCACCAGCGGGGGACTTAGTTTAACATAGGACCCTACGGGAAATACATACAAATGTCTTCTTTAAGAGAACCACTGATTGGAATGAAACCAAACATGGCATGAATGTTCCTTATGAGGTGCTGACCAAGTGTTGTTACTATGAAGCTGATCCATAATCCAAGATGGCCGCCAGCGAGGGACTTAGTTTAACATAGGACCCTATGGGAAATACATACAAATGTCTTCTTTTAGAGAACCACTGAATGGAATGAAACCAAACATGACATGAATGTGCCTTATGAGGTGCTGACCAAGTGTTGTTACTTTGAAGCTGATACATCATTCAAGATGGCCGCCAGCGGGGGACTTAGTTTAATATAGGACCCTATGGGAAATACATACAAATGTCTTCTTTTAGAGAACCACTGAATGGATTGCAACCAAACATGACATGAATGTTCCTTATGAGGTGCTGACGGAGTGTTGTTACTTTGAAGCCGATCCATAATTCAAGATGGCCGAC